AGGGGAAGGGAAGGGAAGGGAAGGGGTCATTTATTCTTCCTTACAGTGTTCAGATATTCGCTCTGATGATATCTTAGTTCTACCTTATTACAATTATTATGCTTGCAGAGAAAAAGGGGAAATGGTCTAGGGCTGTGAAACCAAAGCTAGGGTTCCCACCAAAGCTGCCAGATGTGTCATTCCCTGAATTTGGGGGGGGTAGCCTTCAACTGAGTAGCTGCAGCAGCTTCGGTAGTGAGCTCCACATTGGAAAAATGGGATGGAGTGTTAAAAGGCTCTTCAGAATTTAAGGATCAGCTTTTACAAGGTGGAACATTGGAATCTAAAAGTCAACATTCAACTTCAGCATTACTTCTTGTTTTCTGATATCTCTGCCTGGTAAATCACTGTCTCTGCTTTACCTCTTCAGGAAATAGGTTGTTTCAATTTTGTTAGTGTCCTTAGGTGCATGTTAGAGTCCCACAGGTTGAGCTTTGCACCCCTAGCTGTCACTGTCTCCTCTTCAGAGTTAAGAGTACATGGGGCAAATGTACCTTGAGAATAGATGGGCCTGGTTCCCTTTCCCTCTCCTGCTCCTAATAGCAGCTGCTGGTCTGTATGCAGCACTGCAACTATTATTTACTAATGACGCAAGAAACCTTGTCAGATGAGCCATCTCTTAGCAAGCTACAGTGCATGGAATCTGTTATGCTCAACTGACAAACACTTGTGCGTCAGAAATGTGTTCAATAAAGCAGAGAACAAAGGGTGTGTGCTGAACTGGGCCTGGCAATTTTTCAAAAGTTTTCCTCCCCTGTAAAAGAAGCTTCTGTTTTCTGCCTTACTCTCAGTATGCTTGAGAACTTCTTTCAAATTTCTCTTGGTCATTTTTGAGCTTATTGTAATACTAGAAGTGGTAAAAGGAACAGCTGTTACCATTTATGCTTTCTGTTACATATTTCCATCATTCTGAAACCCCTCTGTTTGCTGGTGCTTCCCAGTTTGGAAAAGTTCAAGAGTACCACTCCCTTCTCTCTTATTTTTTTTTTATAAGAACTTTTTATAACTTAATAAAGCATAAAGATAAAAGCAAACAAGAACTAATAATCAAAGAGAGAAGTAGAGAACAAGAGAGTTAGAAAGAAAGAAAGAATACAAAAGTGATGGAAAGTAAAGAACAAAGGAAAAAAGCAAAATTACACCCTTCTCTGTCTTCTAAAAGTTGATCATACAGTGAAAGACTGCATAGACTCAGAAACACAGATGCCCTTGCCAATTCATAACTTTAAAAGGTGGGAGAACACCCAAGTCCATTTTGGGGAATTTATTTATTGCAGTCTTCGTACACTGCTGACTCCATATGGACATCCAGCAATTAAAATATATATGTATAATTAAAAAGTACACATAAAACATTTTAAAAGTCCTTAGTCACAACATCATTAACATAGAAATATCTCAGAAGCAATGATCTCATATTTTAAAAAAAAACAATAATTTTATCGATAAAAATTATTCATTAAAAGTTCTTCAGAACAGCTGTGTTTTGGCCACCTTTCTAAATACCGGAGGGGAGGGGGTACTAACCATATCTTCATAGACATGGATGACACTCCTTCATAAGCATGGAATATATACAGAAACACACTGTGCTTTCCTCCTCCCATCTCAATCAATGACAAGGATTTTCAAATCCCAGTTAGTGATGAATCCACTGGATGAGTCAGATTTACCTGAAGGAGGTAGCCCCATAAGTGCCCAGATGCCAACCCATAAAGGGCTTTAAAAATGAGAGCAGTTTGGATTGTACTCTAATTCTTTGGTCAAAGCCTATCCATTTCACCAACTCTTTTCTTTCTAAAGAAATTTGAAAAGAAAGTAATAATTTATCCAAATGAATACAACCTAGTAGAAAAATAAAAGTTATCTGTTTGGGGAAGTTGTTATACAGTGGCTTGGTTTTTCTTCATATTAGGATTATTTTAACTTTAGTTATAGAGTTCTTTTTATACTGTTTTTGGGTTGGAGGTTGTGTTGTTTTCTTTTCTTGTATATTGGTTGGTTAGCCACCCAGAGTTACATGTTTCAGT